TGACTCTCTGTAAACCGCTTAGAGAGGGCTGAAAGCCCTATGAAGCAGTATATAAGTCTAACTGCTATTGCTATTAGGAGAACCTTTTTTTTATCAAACAAAGTTTTTTTTTATTTTTTGTTACAAATTTTAAAAAAATTTGTAAACAAAGTGTTGCCCAGGTTTTCCCCTTTAACATTCTCTCATATACAAAATTCATTTTACATCAGATTTCCATTTCTAATTTTAGCCATATTATTTTCTTCCCATATTTTCCATCTTAAGCTTAATTTTTTCTTAACACATAAACAATGTCATTATTTGCCCCTTCAGAAATAAACCAAATTTATCATTTCATTTTCCATCTGTTCTTCTATTTTCTAGAGGCAGCATATATCCTCAAATTCATTTTTTTTCAACTTTTATATAACATGCATTTTACTTATTTAGTTATCCACAATTAATAATGTTAATATAATTCCCTCACATCTTAATTAGCTACATATCATGAACAGTATTAACATATTTCATTTTATTCTACTAATATATCCCTTCTTAATAGGAGAACTTTCATTCACTCCAGGGTGTATTTTAGCAGATCACTGTTGCATAGGAAAAGCTACAGAAAATCTAAAAAAAATCACAGAGAATTGAAATACTCCTGAGATTCTTCTTAATGATTAACTAACCTAAACAGCAAAAAACAAAACATTCATTCCTTATGTAGGCAAAACCTGCTTGAAAAATAAATAAGATATGAGTGGGAGGAATTCAGATTTCCAATTATACTATGTGTTATTACATATTTATGGAAAATCTGACTCCCAGTTTGAAATTTGGCACTCTTCAAGCTCACATTTAATTCATATGATTACATTAAATACCTCACAGAGTCAGGGTGAGATATAAGGAGAGAAGGGCCTGTATTTTGCACTTACTCTCCCTTGTAAATGTATAAAGTTCAATAAGGTATTTTCGCATATCATACTTTTTATCCATTGCAATCTTATCCTCAAGTGCAGAATATTAACTGTTTCGGCTAAACATTTTTATATTGCTTTTCTTACTTGAATAAATGACACATTCTCTCATAAGAAGAAAATGAAGAAATTCACTAAAGGAACAAGCAGTAACTTATCCCTGCAGGCCCAGAGATGAAGGTTAAAATCATTCTTAAAGATTCAAGTTTAAAACTCTGGAGAGTTATGAAGAGGCAGTCAACACAATACTGAGTTACATGGATTAATGGTGCATTTGGTCTAAAACAGTTTTCAATGACCTGAATAATTTATTATGATTTATTATAGCGTAGCCTTTCATCTATAAAGCCTTACTTGTGATAGTTGCCATAGCGGTTCCACCACAAAATCGCGGAGGACAAAATCACACTCGACGAAAGCGCGCATNCACAAAAGACCTTCACCCTAAGGACATAATAGGATTAGCCCTCACTCAAGATCCAAACCAGGACAAAGCCATTAAGCCATAATAGGAATTTCCCAAATCCCCTTCATTACCATCACCCAGCAAGAGTCAGCCAAGCCTGGAACTCAAGACAACCTACAAAGTTACCCCTGCATGGCCCCATGGGAGTCTGACAACCAATCAGAATACATTTCTTGCCACAGGAACAGGAAGCAAGTTCAAAGCCCAACAGAGGGTATAAATCTCTCTCTCATACACACACACTTGTGCTCTTTTTTGCCCAGGACCTTAAACCATGTGATCCTGTCCACCATTAAACCATCTTTCCAAGCAGTCTCCATGTTTCCAGTGTCTTTCCCCCACCTTGGAACTGAACCCAGATGGACATTTCTTCCAACAGGTGTTATAGTCACCCATCTCACATGGATGATAATGTCAGTTGTGTTCTCTATTTCAGTGGTTCTCAAATTTTTCTTCATCATGTGCCACCTTTAAAATACCTTTTGTGGCCACAAGCCATGGCCACAGACCACCAAGACATAACTCAAGATTTAAATCATAACATTTCTCCAAGCCTTCGCAGATTCCCTGTGGTGACATCTCAACCCCAAGGGGATGGTGAAACCAAAGGTTGAGAACCATCGTTCTATGTCAAGAGGCTACAGTTAAAAGATGAGGAAGATGAGGAAGGAAAACAGGATGGTAGAATAGTGACAATGGCCCTAGCCACTGTGCTCACTGCAGCCTCTCCTTCCCCATTTATTTTATAAAATACAAGTGCCAAGCATTGCCAATAGCCAAGAGAGCAATAGAGCATGCGCACATGGAAAATGGAGGAAACATTTTAGGAACCCCGTTCCAGAAAGTGGTTGCATAAATCTCTCCTTCCACTGGGGATTTGTGGGAAGCAAACGTGCAACGAGATGATTCAAACGCAGCCGTAAAAGAGACAAAGCACACTGAAAGGTACTATTTTTCCCTCTTATGGTTAAAAACTGCAAAGTCAGGACAGGAGCTAATTAACTCTGTGCAGGAAACCAATTCATTTCATTGAGTCAGGGCTTGATGAAGTAGCAAAGGAAAGGAAGCGAAACGGGGTAGCTGTAGCGATGCTGGGGGTACCAAGTGAGGAAAGAAGATTTTGCTCCTCTGCTTTTCATTAGCTTTAATACCAAGCACACAAACGCGAAGGCATCTATTCTGAAATTCTTTATTCTACTTGATTATTTAGTTACAGGAAGGACCTAGACACCCAGTTTCCCTCTCCTAAGGTTACCTGTAAATTGTGGTGTTTTTTTCATCTCCTTGCAAAGTAACTTTGTTAACAACTTTACAGCTTATGTTGTTGTAAACCTCCCAGAGTCACTTACACGAGATGGGTGGTGTAGAAATGTAATGTGTAAATAAAGTTGCTTTCTACTGAGTGCAAATTCTTGGAACAGAACACGATTATTTTTGGCTAGAAAAAGAGTGTTCCACCTTGTAAATCTCAGAATTTGATTCAGAAGGATACCAAGACTGATGGCATCAAAGGCGGCTGAGAGATCAACCAGGACTGGGAAAGTCACATTTCCATTATCCTTGTCTTACCTCAGATCATCTACAAAAATAAAAATATAGACATATTCGTTTATATTTTGCATATGTTGCATATTTGAGCCTGAACTCAGATGGAAATGGTACAGTTACTTCCCCCTAGGATCTCAAAGGTCCTCTTTTTCTTCAAAAGGCAAAAGTGTTTTTTTTCCTTGAGGAGGAAGAAGAAAACTGTGAAGTTTCCAAGAGCTGACCTAATTAATTTACGAGCCTCCAGACAAAGTTCAAAGAAAACCCATTCATTTATTAGGACTAACATCTTGGCATNACTTCAGCTGACTGTTATCTGCAGTTCGGCGGTTCTAATCTCACCGGCTCAAGGTTGACTCAGCCTTCCATCCTTCCGAGGTGGGTGAAATGAGGACTCAGACTGTGGAGGCGATATGCTGACTCTGTAAACCACTTAGAGAGGGCTGAAAGCCCTATGAAGCGGTATATAAGTCTAACTGCTATTGCTATTGCTATTTGCCCCCTCCCCCGCCGGCTCCTGCGGCTTTGTCCCTTCAGGATATCGCTAGGTTGGTGAGTGGCGCTCTGCCTGGCTGGAGGGGAGGTTGTCCAGGGGCTTATTATTGGGGGAAGGCGTATATTTTTGCTCACAGGAAAAATATGGCATAGTCTTATTATCAGGATATGTCGTAATTTCAGGGAAACACGGTATCACCTCGATATCTTTGCTGCCAAAACAGCACCTTTGCTCCAAGATATGAATATGTTTTGTGATCATCTCAAGGCTGTAGCAAATCTGATTTTGGGAAACCATGTAATTTGCAAAGACGTATTAGGCTCTGCCAGAAATAGCTGGCCACTTTAATGCCATTCCCCAAAACCATTAAAAAAGCAGATTGGTTTGGGGGTGGGGGGAGCATGTATAGCTTTCTAGCCACATATATAACCTACTTCTCTGGTGGTGGAGGGGACACAGGAATGTTGACCTCCATATGTTTCCGGATATATTCTCTGGATCTTATATCAGCCTATAATCAGGGCCAAGAGGAAAATAATAATAAGAAATTAATTAGGTTGACTGGTGCAAGGATTCCAGGAGAACGGGAGGAAAGGACAGGGCTGCTGGGCTCTGACATTACTGTACCTGGAGGGGGGAAAATCATCTCACAAATCTCAGTCCTAGTCAGATTTCAGCCAATCACAATGCAGCTTCTATCCCAAAGAGAATTGAGGGTTATCTCTCATGATATATTTTTGGACTGAGAAGAAAATGAGCCCGTTCTGCTCACCAGCAGTTGAAATCTTGCAAATAATTTATATGAAAACCCATGTTTGATCAGACAACGGCTCACCTGGCTAATATTATTTTTCAGCTGTGGTCATGGAAATGTAAAGGAGTTTATTCTGAGTCGGGCTATGAGTCAAACTACTGTATATAATACTTTTAAAATATGGTTAGCAACCACACTCCTTTTCCTTACCTAAAAGGGAGTTCATTTGACTGAAATAAAACTACCAGCCTCAAGATGAGGGTAGTTTTCATTTATTTTAACTTTAGTGTCTCCAATTTACATTGCTAAAAAGATCCACTAAATAGCAGCTTTTCATTTAAGAGGCTGAGAACTAGGCTGGGACTGCACCAAGGTGAGAAAGTCTTACAACTGATAGCTTCTTATACATGCCACATTACAATCTCAATCCGAACCAGTTCCACTGTGCTTCTTTTTGAGAGAGAAAGAAGACTCAAGAGAATGCCAAGCTGCCTCTTTCAAACAATTTATATTTTATCCCATTCAACGCAAACTGAGCCGTTTGATACGGGCTTCCAAAGGCTACCTACATTCTTCACAGCAAAGGAAATAAATGTGTTAATGGACACCATGCTTTCTTTTCTAAGATTGGGTCTCTCAATACATTTCTCTATAGAATTGCTGCCAAATTCTGGAACACAACCAAATTGGGTGACAGCTTTGGCATCTGGTACAATTAAACTTGCAGTGGAACTGGTAAGGGATGAGAAGGTTCAAGAAATCCGACGGATGTCTGAATTTAGAATGATTCACCTCAATGGGCCATAACAGGTCTGCACATATTTTCCAAATGAACTAGAGTTCCCAGACACCTCAGTCTTCTGGCAACAGGAATTGAAGTACCAGGCACCTGGCAAGTGGCTGGATGGGAAAGACCACAAAACCAGGTCGTCTAGTAGTACCTTCTCAGATTAACACATTATATTAAAAGGCATCAACTTTTGTGAGTTGCATGTCATGTCATCACTTCGCCGTCACCAAAGCCTTTTAATAAAAGTTGTGAGTCCTTCTGATTTTTGTCATTATGCCTTAAAAGAGGGAGGGTGATCTAGAAACACCGAGCTGCTCTGGCGCAACAAACAGAAGGAAAAGAGAACAAAACGTTCACAGCAGTCAGGTTTCTCAAGCCTGCCATAGCCTCAGAACAGGATTGAATTGAGAACCTTCTTCCTCAAGCTGATTTCATTGGAGTAGCAGCAAGGAATACATAGGTATGAAATTAAACTGATGTACAAAATCACGGAGGTCCAGATGTATTGACCTTCATCTTTGGTCACTCCTCTTCTATCTCATTGACTTAACTACTTATGTGAGCAGTCCTTTGCAGGCACTGCTTTCTTCAATTCCACTGTACATTCTATCTTCCGCTACTCTTACCTACCGTTTTCATATTCTTCATTCGTAATTCCTGATTTCTCTTTTCTCTACTTTTTGTGGGATGGATGGACAGATAGCCAGTGGTCATGTGTAATGTTCTAAAGCAGCTTTCCATGAACCACAGCACTAATAGCCCTTCCTTTGATAAACTTTCAATTTCTTTTAAGTTTAAATGTCATTCATCTTTCTTTTTCAAGGTTCATAATCTTCATTCCACAGATATTATTATAACAAATATGTAAGAGTGACCAGGCTGAAAGAAAATAACTATCCTAGGACTACCAAATCTGGACTGCAATAACCATCTGGACAACCACTAGATTGTAGCAAAGGTGATCCCTTTAGTAGTATGGAGAGGTTGGTTGGTTGTTGTTGTTTTCAGCCCAGACCTAGTATTCCTAGACTAGCTCCAAATCACCTAAAAACTTTCTTTTCAAATGGATCCAAACTTCTTACAACTTTATTGCCTTTTACTTGTTGAACGAAATTCTTTGGGTCTATTTAATGTATGTCTTCTCAGCCAGACCTTTATTTCACTTTCCTAAGAACCAGGGCAGTTTACAAGTACTCAGCAGAGAATATGAATTTCAGGCTGCCATCTGATATATCACAAAATGGGGAACAATGGAGGGAATTTTTCGGAGTATAAGACACGCCTTTTTCCCTCAAAAAAGAGGGTGAAAATCTGGGTTATACACAGAATGCAGCATTTTTGGCCTCCCGAAACCCTGCCCCCTTTGCAAAAATGGCTGTGCATAGCCTTTAGGAGGCTTCCAGAGTCCTCCTGGAGGCTGGGGAGGGCATAAATGAGCAAAAAACAGGGCAGTTTTTGCTTGTTTGGGGGGGCAGCCCCCAGGAGCACTCTACAAGCATCCTAAAGGCTTTGCATGCCCTTTTTTTGACAAAAAATAGACCCGTTTGCGTGAAAAATGGGACTTTTTGGGAGCTCTGCAGAGTGCAAAACCTTTTTTTTTTAATTTGCCTTTTCAAAATCTTGGTGCATCTTATACTCTGGTGTGTCTTATACTTGGAAAAATACGGTAAATCCTTTAATTGAGGGACACTGAATCAATGGACCTTCTAGACTGCCAATGGTTGATGGGAACTGCAATATTATAAGGTCTAGAATGGCATACTATATGAAAGAACAGATAGGAATAATCCACTATTGGTACATAATGATTCAAGCTTCCAGGTTAGGGAGCAGATGAATAACTTTCTGTAGCATAAAAGCTTCCAATATGTCATGTACTGGGGCCAGAGACACAAAAGATCACCTTGGCTATTTTGCATGCCCACCTTTTGTGAAAGGAATGGGGGTTTGAACATTTAGATACATTTGTTATGACAAATTAATTTGTTTTAGATCTGCTAAACAAAATTATTTTACATCATTTGGCTCCATACCAACAAATTCTACAAGGCAAGAACTGTTGAATATAAATGGCTCGAGCCAATAATTACTGGCAATAACAGAAGCTAAAAGCCAGTCATCTCCAACATAATTAAATGCCATTTAGCCGTTTTGTTTCTCTAGTACATATTTTAGCCTACTTTTTTACTTTAAAAGCACCTGCGAAACATTTTAATAACCCGAAAATTGGAACTAGAATTTTAGATAATTAAAAACAGAAGATGGCTCTGCAAAAGCAGAGATGACATCTGCACCAAAGACCAAGAACTGGTGAGCATGCCAATTCCTTGGAACCTCTATGATAAAAAAGAGTATCGTCCATATTGGCTCCAGATGGCTGCTCCTGGCAAGGAGCCCATAGGACAGCCGTTTTTCATGAGTTGGAGCACCAGAAGACAATGGAAGTAGCCCTCCCGATGCCAACCGAGGTGGAGACTTTTAAAGGACACTAAGTTTGCAAACCTCACTTTCTAATCACTTTCATAAATTCCTTATTAATTACTTTAGTACTAGATCTAGAGATAGATTTGAAAAATCTTCCATCGGATGAATTAATCTTCAATGCTGAACAAAATAAAAAATATTTACAACCTTTAGAACTTAAAGCATTTGAAATAAAAAAGTGAAATGCTAAATAAGATTTGAATCTAAGATAGTTATGAATGGATTAAGGATCCAGATAAATTTACAATGTTGGAAAATAAGATTTCAAATTTATCTATAAAAAATAAATAACTTCTTGTAGAAAACAGGCATATTTTGGTTATCCTGGCAATGGCAAGCCATAACAAAAAATAAGTGATGGTTTTAGAAACCAGACATTTGAGGAAAATAAACATTTTAAGCAGAAAAAAATAGAAAAGGCTGATGTCAGTTCATTCTGACATTTACAGAATGATACAAAACATTATAACAAATGTTAATATTAAGGGAAATCTTTGACGAATGGAGTCAGAAGTTAATAATTACAATATCAACCCTGTCAATAATGATATGCTTCTGTGGATAGACTAAAACATATTAATGGAGGAATGAAAGATGTGGGACAAATTTTATGTGATAAAATAATGTATAGAATATGGAATATAAATGATAGGCTAAATTAATGATTTGGAAAATGATGTATTACTGGATATACAATAGAAACTGGCCAAAGTTTTAAAAATTGAAAGGAAAATACAAATGATTCACCAAGAAAATGACATGGAAAATATTTTCATATTGGATTTAGAAAAGAGGCTTGTTAAAACCTAGAAATATGTAAGATGGGAGAAAGAAGAATTGGGGCTGATGGTGGAATCCTTTGACAATTTTGGATTGAATTAAAGATTAAGATTGTTAGAAGTAAAATGAAGAAATATATAGTTGCTTTATTTGATCAAGGTTAAAATATTTTGCTACAATAGTCTGGCAACCTCTATTGTAAATAAAATTCTTAATAAAATTATATTTGAGATAATTAAAAACAAAAGTTTTGGATGAAAATAAATATGGCTCAAGATCAGACTCTTACATTAGAGGAAAATCTCTCTCCCATAAGTGATTTTAAAAAAAACCAAAACTAGTTGGCAAATAACTATTCTTGTTTGACCAAAAACTGGGTTCTCAGTCATGAATGTTTGTGGCTCAGAAATTGCAATGGCTAAGTATTCAATTGATTCAATATCCAAGGAATCACAATACTGAACATTCTGGCACCTTTTCAATAAAATGCCTTGTTTCATTTTCCAGCTTCTTCATCAAAGATTATTAATGCCACCTTCAGCATCCAGAGCTACCCTCATTTTGCTGCCATGGCAGGGAAAGGGAAGAGCAAAGTGTCCTCTTAAACTGTAGCATCATTTCACTCCTAACATTGTGCTAAAACCGCTTAATCTAGCTTATTAACCCAAGAGGTTAATCAATAAGGTGGGTCATGTTGCCTTAATAATCCCTCAAGATCTCGTCTATTTTTGGAGTAGGCCAGCAGTGGCATTAGAGACTGGGGATTATGCCAGGAGTATAAAAAAAAATAGAAAACATCAGGCTGGTCAGATGCCCAAGACTGTGCAAGTGCTTTTGTTGCAAAAAGATGGCAGACTTATTACTTCTACCATGAGTTACTGCTATTAAACCCAGGCCTGGGAGACACCTCTTCTTGCTTTAAGCTTTTTCCCACACTTTTGGGCTGCAGCCTGATTTTCTCCAGAGAGGAAAGTGGGAGTGGCAGCATAGAGAGGCTAATGGGCTGTGAAATGCAAGATCGACTGCAACAAAGGAAGAGAGGATGGGAGCAAGCAGGGCAGAGTGTTGTGCCTGTGTTACAGTGGAGATATTCACATCAGAAGGAATATTCCTGGGTGACTAAAGTCAGTTTTGTCACATGAAATGTTTCTTTCATAAAAAGGCATGCAAACACTGACTCTCTTGAATACTTACGGCTTCTGTGCCAGTGCTGGAGGCATTGACAATCAAGAACCATGTATAACTTCCTACATACTAGTAACTAGAAGAAGGAACATCTGCTGCTTCTAATCACCATCATTCACAGAGCATAGACCCTAATTTCGGCGCTAGGTTATTGAGTTATTTGTTCAGGACTTCTTATGAATCAATCCGCTGGTTTCTCAGCTTGGTACTATTAACACTGCCTGACTGAGGCTCTCAAGGGTTTCCTGCATGCATTTTACTGACTTTATCTGAGGATGGTAGGGAATGAAGCTGACACTTCGGTATGCCAAGCATAAATCATCCAGTCATCTACCATTGAGCCACACCCTTAAAGACAGCATCATGAACAAAAGTGCAAGCAGTGGTCATGGGCTGATCAAACACAATACAACCAGATCTGAGTTGCAAAAATAATGGAAGCAAAAAGATGCAGAAAATCTTAACTTTTTGCTGTCATCTTGTGGCGTATTGTATTCTGTCTTTCTTCTACAACTAGATTACTTGATGTTTTGCACATCTAAAATATGCTTCAGCTCAAGAGAAGAACATCTCAACATGCTGATTTGGCTGTTTCCCCAAAATTATTTCATGCTGAGACCTATAAGGCAGTGGGCCCCAATCTTTTGGGACCGATTCCGTAGAAAGAGGTTTTTCTGTGGACAGGAAGGGGTGTGATTTCATGTGCTGCCTGCATCCTGCAGATGCGGTTTCGATTGTTTGTGCGCACCGGTTTCTGGCATGCCGTGGACCAGTGCCGGTCCAAGGACCGAGGATTGGGAAGTCCTGCTATAAGGGGTTCAAATAGATTCTTTCTTTGGAGCTTAGAACGAAGCTAGCATTTAGAAAGATGCCGACATGGGTACAGTGGCTTATTATTGGCTCATAAATCTGAGCACTCTAACACTAGGAATAATACCTTCTATCAGAACTTCACTGTCAAGAGGTGAGAAACTGCTCTGCTTGAGCTTTTCTTTGTCACAGGTCCATGTATTGAAGGCATGGTTGAAAATTTCAAGGCTAGCTCTTGGCAAGTCTGTGGCCCACACATTTTGTGCTAAAATCTATCCTTGCTCAAACTTTGCCTCAAGATATATAAATGGTGATCAAGCACTGCCATCCACTGGCTGCATTCTGGCTCAGCAATCTCTGCAGCCTGCAGACTCCTGGGAGGATCAGCAGTACAGTTGGCCCAGCAGATCCTATTCACTGTGCAAGTGATGTAATCTGGGAATTAGTTATGTAGAGTTTTCTGTTTAAATATGGGGTGCTTATTCACAGAGAATACATCTCGGATTCTTAACTTTAGAGATTTTTTAAAAAGGAATTATCTGGATCCCCCAAAAATGGAGCAGATACCAATTCTGCAAATCCGGGGTAAATTTTAGGTTTTAAAAATAAAATGTTTCTTTTTAAAACCTAAAATTTAAAATTCCTGTTTCAATTTTTCTGATGCTGGGTAAGTTTCAACTCTTTGGAAGAGTATGGTGATAAATGTAAATTTCATATAAATTTATTTAAAATTAAAAATGTTCAACCTATTGTTGGTTTTCAATTAACAGGAAACCTAAGGGTTGAAATTACTATATTTTGTTTCTGATTCAGGACCTCAGTGAAACTGTATAATTGCTTAAGTAGTCCCAATTGAATGATATCATTTTTAAAATTTCTAAATCAAGCCCTAAAATGATTTATTTGCACATTTTCAGGAGACAGAATGTTGAAATTAAACAATAGGATTGCTGTCAACTTTGCACCTTATTTATGACTTTCCAGAAGTATTTGGTAAAGTATTATAGTAAAATAAATGAAGTGCCAAATGGTCTCATAGAGCAGAGCTCAGCTCACCTAGCCCAGGGGTGTCAAACTCAAGGCCCATGGGCCACATCCAGCCCACGGGGTGCTTAAATCTGGCCTGGAAATAGCAAAGGACCAGCCTCTGCCAGCCAAAACAGGGTGTGGGAAAGCTCCACCCCACCCTGTGCCCCATTTTGGCCGGCAAGGTACTGCAGGAGACCGTCCAACCCAAAATGGGGGGGAGGGGGGAGGAGGGGATCCTCACACAGCAGGGTGCTGCAGGAGGCATCCATCCCATCTCCGCCCCCCTCCACCAGCCTGTGGAGAACTACAATGCTGATCCAGCCCTCGAAGAAATCCAGTTTGACACCCCTGAGCTAGCCCACACCTAGCTTCCTAGCCTCTTCTAACCAGGGTGTCCTCTAGATGAATGAACCTCTGCTCCCAGAATTCCTAGCAATGGTCATTAGGAACTCTGGGAACTGAAGTCCAAACATTCAGAACATTGACCAGTTTAGCTTAGCTTAGCTTAGCTTGAGGTTGCTGGTATCAGCATTCTAAATGCACATTCTGCTCATACCTGCCGGATGGGCTCAGGAATCCGATACTTGCAACAAGAATGGACCAGGCGCACAGCCGACAGTAGACTTATCTTGTGGCCTACTGAGATATACACAGGTTTTGTACTCTTGGCACAGCTACGCAAAGCCTGGTCAGATAAGAAACAAGAGATACTGCTAGAAACATGCAAACATGCAACCACCAAGGAACATGAATGAACAAGCAAAATGGGGTAGGTACCATGTAACATCAGACTCATATATTCCTTGAAACCCTTAAGTAGGCAAAATATCTATAGAGATTCTCAGTCATCCACATCCTCGTTGTCCCAAAGGTGCTTTTTCAAAAGGCAACTGGACTCTGCTTTTCCTTGAAGATGTTTCACTTCTCATCCAAGAAGTTTCTTCAGTTCTGTTTCTTCAGTCCTTTCAGCAGTTTCAAGAAGGTTCCACATCCATTTGCACTATTCAGGTGACCCCGAGGGCACGGTTAAACCTCCAAGTGGCCTCAACAATTCTCAGAAAGAGTGCTAATGACCAGATGACTGCAGAGAACATAAATCCTTCCATCTTCCACCATTCAGTCAGAACTTAAGAAGCTCCTTGGAGGAGAAGCCAAATGTCTTCAAGGAAAAACAAAGTCCAGTTGCCTTTTGAAAAAACACCTTTGGGACTTTACGCAGGCAACACTACAGTGTGCATGTGCATATGGTACACTTTGTACCACCAGGAAAACACTGAGTTCTGTTTTTCCTTTTCTTTTTCCCTGCTCTTCTATTTAACAAAACAGCTCTGTGGAAAATTCTAGCTAGCTAATGGAAAGGTAACAGCATTCCGTGCGCCTTTGGCTTTAGTCATGCTGGCCACATGACCACGGAGAGGTCTTCGGACAGCGCTGGCTCTTTGGCTTTGAAACAGTGATGAGCACCGCCCCCTAGAGTCGGGAATGAGTAACACATAGGTGCAAGGGGAACCTATATCTTTATGGAAAGAGAAGCTGGATTTTGAAATGGAAGAAAGAAAAAAGTGAATATGCAGCATTCATTCATTCATTCATTCACTCACTCACTCTCATTTTATTAATCAACTTTATATGAGCACCCAGACAAAGTCTGATACTTAAGGCAATGTTCATGTTGGAAAGTAAACACTGCTTCAGTGACTGAGGATAAATCGATCTTTCTTTTTTATTGCACTCATTTCTTCAGACTCTTTCCAAGAGCNTCTAGTTTGGTGAAGACTTTTCCCTTGGCCAGATGAGATAGCATGTCCTTCATGAGGGGGGAGGAGGGCAAGGAACTCATTCTTCTTTATGACTCAGGTTCTGGGTAACCCCATTCAAATGCCATCTTCAATGTCCTGGGCCTTGTAAATTGCTTTGGATAATATAACATGTTGAGCAATAAGAGTGGATTTTTCTTCATGAAGAGCAAAGAAATGCTGCCCTGTCTTAGTTCTTACCATCATGCTGGGCAGGGCTATAGGCTTGAATCTGAGGTCAACAGTCTTTTGTCAATTGCCCTCTAGACATTTTCTTTGTAGTTTTGCTTGAGCTCTTAACGTTTGGCAGCGAGCTTCCTTGGGTCAGCAAAAGGGAAAGCCAGGTGCAATTGCCAGGTGCAATTTGGTCCAATACCTCTGCTGCTTCTACATCTCAAGAGGTGAATATTTTTTTCCTCTACCCCAGAGCCAGTCACAGACAACTTAAAGCAATCTTTCCAATGTCTCATCATCTGGAGGTCACTGTTGACCACATAAGGATTGGTCTGATAGACATGCCATGCTACAGCAGCCATAGGACTTGGCTAATGAGGCATTTAACTACGCTCCCATCATCCATAAAGACCTGCAGAAACATGGCACCATTTGGAGCAGCCCATACTAAAACCAATCAGCCTCAATACTCAAATACTCTTCCCCTCTCTTCTGGACACTGTGTCTTCAGTCTAGCACTTTCTGGCATCGCTAATTGCTTAGATCTCTTCAACATAAGTCCAGGCTGTACTAACAGGATGGGCGGTACCTCCTTAGCTGAAAAATCTCTGTTCTCATTCTTCCCTTCATGACCACCACTATCTATTTTCTATTTTCTCTATTCTCCAAAGTTTCACAACATCCACTTCTTCCTCTTCTACCAATTCCCTGGTGCCATCTCTATGGGTCAGAAAATAGGAGATCCAGTCTGATATGGGAGTGTTGTATATTAGGAGCGCTTGAAAGTTTTAAGACATGAAAACAAACAACGAAAAGTAGGATCGAGAGAGGAGGCAGCAGCTTCATGCAGAAATGTTTCCAAGAAAGACTACCTAGAACTAAGTAGTAATGCCTCACTGAATTAATCCAAATGTTTGGCTTGTGCCACAGGTTATGCCACAAATAAGGCAATCATCTTTCAGCCTCAAAGGTTGGGCAATCCCAAGCAAAATCTAAGAATTATTTTTACAATGTTGGAAAAAATGTAAACATTTCAGTGGGCTACAAATTTAACCTCCAATTGGTCAGCCTTGCTCATCTTTAAATCGGGGGACTCCCAATTAAAACACTATTAACCATGAGCAAAATTGCTTTTGTCCATGGGATAAAGCAACTGGCTCTGTAACTAAAAATTGCTGACTGAATATACCTCGCCCCTGTGGGATGAATGTTATTTTAAAACCTTACTGCTCAAGACTTCCTAATATATTCTCCAGGGCAATTTACAAGGCATGGACATTGATAGTGACGTTTGAGTAGAGTTACCCAGAATCTGCAGCATAAAGAATGAGTTCCTTGCCCCTTTCTCCAGCTTTCTTATAAACATCCATCAACTCACAGAGAGATTGAGTTTACCAGTTGTGCTAAATGATAGATGTAATTGGTTTGGTGTCAGGCCTGCAGCCATCTTGTTGTTTGGATTTTTGGCCTGCCACACTTTCTATTATTCTATCATGAAATTTTCTATTGTGGGAAAATGGGAGTGGGGATTGTATGGAGTTAGATGATATGTAGCCATAACAAAATCCTTTCTAGAAAGCCAAGGTCATCCTTTGTCTTTGCACCTCTGCACCTGACCAGAACTGGATGGGTGGAAGCTGCCAGCATGGCAGTAGAAGATTGGATGTGATGGACTTGTGGGTGTGTGAGCAAGATCTTAAACATTCAACTGGGTGGGAAAACCAGGAAGCCTTCAGATTTGGGTTTTCCCAGATGTGCCAATATGGCTCTCTTAATAAATTGGAACTTTGAGGAAACCTTTGCCTTGGACTCTAATTTACTTTCGGATGCTATTTGGAACCATGACATTTGATTTTGACACAATGGATGATGTGAACCCAGCCAATTTGCCCTTGCCCTTCTTTGCGAACAATGATTTATGGCTTAGCAAAAATCTGATTTTTAAGCTGTATATACATGCATACATAGACCCCAGAAATGTTATGAATGTTATGCAGGATGCAGAAAAGAACTAAGAATTAGAGAGCAAATTTAAGGCATAAGATGAATAAGCTTATCTGCTTATAGCTGAACCATCAGTGGTTCTCAACCTGTGGCCTGCGGACTCCTGGGGGAAGGGGCTACAATGTCACCACAAGGGATCTGTGAAAGCTTGAAGAAATGTTCTGGTTTAAATCTTACGTCTTGGTGGTCTATGGTCACAAAAGGTATTTAAAGGGAGTCCGGGGTGAAGAAAAGATTGAGAACCACTAAGCTGTACTACTCACTATACCTCTCTGTAGTGTCTCTATTTCTGTTCCTACATATCAACCTTGCTTTCATCGCATCCTTCCACCAAATCAAACATAGCTGCCTTTAAAATGTTTCGCCACTTGAGCATTTTGGAGTAGAGCTAGAAATATCAATAATAAATTTAGAAAATAAGTAACATTTTACGGCTCTCATTCATAATGCATGAATACATTCAGTCCCAACAGTTGCTCCATATAAATGGTGGCTGTGTTCATTCATATACAGTCACATATTTAATGCTCAAAGACTGCAGTTTGTATCAATGCTGATATTTGATTGTGTGAACCTTCACTTAGACTGTTTGATCTCATCCTGGATTACTTGATTTTGGCCTCTGGATACAGAAGGTAGAGTTTACAGCATTTGCTAAGTCAGAATGCTCCAGTTCCCCTTCTCTCCATTTTTTTTGCATGTCCAAAAGTTATAAATTTCTACATCTATTTGCAATCCAAATGTCCTGTCATATATTAAATATATGAAACAAAAAAATAATTAACAGCTTAGACAATAGGCAGGTTAAAGTTCAGAGCTCTCTGTTAAGTCTGATATTGTAATTTACTTGTAGAAAATCTACATGGCTTCCTATTTAGCACAGATCATCCCAGTCCATTATCTCTGATCAGTCCAAGATGAAATACACTAGTTTGGTACTTAACAATGAAACCTTTCTTTGGATTTTTAGTTGGGAGTTTTCCCAAAAATTGCATCTCATTTCCAAAGTTCATAACTCTCTGTTGTACTAAGGGAAAAAAATCATGCAACAATTGTAATAGAAAATATCTACTACCATAGAGCAACAAACTTTCATAAAGCTCAGAGGAAGTCCAGAGTCTGATTATGCTCTGCCATTACTATACCAACCAGCTATGAGTAACTAAATGAAAGCCTAGGACCAAAAGCACATCAACTTTGGCATTTCTCCAATTTCATAATACACTATATTGCCAAAAGTATTCACTCACCCATCCAAATAATCAGAATCAGGAGTTCCAATCACTTCCATGGCCACAGGTGTATAAAATCAAGNATACAACATATACACATATACATATATATACACACACATACACAGTATACACACACACACACACACACACACACAGAGTATGTGTGTGTATATATAATACACACACACACACACACACACACACACACACACATATATATATATAAGGCATGTGTGATTTCACGGATAACCCAACCTCTTTTCTACCTCAGTAACAGGTTTTTAACCAGCATGTTTCATGGCAGGAAAATTGTTGTGAACAATTTACGCTACTCAACCTATAAAAACCAATATATACTTCCTATCATCATAGATGCACATACACTGCCACAAGGTATCCTTGCTAGGAGTGTGCAGTGTACAAATAGCATAAATGAACTAAGCTGAAAACAGCATTTCGCCATCATTAAAAACAAAATACCATACCATAGTCAGCATAGTCAGATCTTCAGTCAATATGTAATGCAGTGTTAGGAAATGTATTTTCTGCTTACAGGGATCAATCCGAGCCTATGACCATTAAACTGGAACATAATGATTTATTCCCTTCCGGAATACGTTGGCCCTCAACTGCCAGAATTCCCAGGCAGCACACCTGGAAAGGACCAAAATTGGGGAAGCTATCCTAGGTTTCAGGATTTTCACTGTCCTGAAAGGAAACTTCAGGATAAGGAATGGAGCAGATGGCAGACAAAAATAAAAGTCCTCCCTGAGGAATTCGCCCAAGATACTCTACCCTGCAGGAAAGTAATCTGTCAGCTACACAGGGCAACCTGCCCACCACCGTCACTGCCTTAGATCACTACTCATCCGGGTCATTGTGTTTGCCTTTTGTATTCACCTAAAGACCAGGCCCATTCTGTTAGGACAATATGTCTTGCTCCAAAATGCAGTTGGCACATCCCTGGATAAAAGTACTCTTGAAAGAGCTGTCGTGATTGCATTTGACCCCTGGGTAGTGTTTTGTTGTATAGATGGAAATTGCCACATTCTCTTCCCCAAGATGATGGCCTTTGAGATGAAAGCTCATCTTTGTGATTAGCTCTAGGAAAGAAGGGTACAAAACAGGACAGGGTCAAACTAAGATGAAAAAAGAATCTGAAAGAGTATAAGGTTTGGAATGGGAATTTGTCCCAACTTAAGCACCCACTCTGGAACAGTCATACCTCAGTGCTTGCCTTCATCTTTGTCAGCTTCCCACAATCTGGCACTTTCCAGATCTTGGCCTCTAAAGAAGGAAGCAAGTGATCAAACATGTGTCATGACAAAGATCTAGGCACTAGCATTAGATGTTGGGATGTAATTATATTAAGGTAAAGTATGTTATCCCAATCCATCTGTAGAGGCTGGGTCTTAAATTCCACTTCTTTTTTTTACTTTCCTTCCTTGTAAGTTAATGCTACTCATTGGAAGACTGTTTTCTAAGAATACATCCAGAATTACATCCAGGAATAACTGGAATAACTCTGGATGTATCACAACAAAGGTGACATGCAATTCTTCTAAGACATGTATACTGTGTTTCCCTGAAAATAAGACAAGGTCTTATTTGCTTTTGACCCCCCCCCAAATTTTGCTTGGGCCTTATTATCGGGGGGGCTTATTGGTTTGGGGTTGCCGGGTGGCTGCTCTCTTGCGAGCAGGTGCCTGAAGAGCCGGGCACAGCCTCACGGGCAAACAGCTGTGTTGCGCTGTTGCAGCAGTGCAACAAAGCCGCCATGAGGTGACCATGCTCATGAGCAGCTGCCTGGCAACCCCCCTTTCTAGCCGGGCAGAGCGCCACTCACCGACCCAGTAATATCCCAAAGGTGCTAAGCCGTGTGGTGCTCTGCCCGGCTGGAAAGAGAGTGCACGAGGACTTGTTCTGCCTCCAGCTCGCGTGCCTCCCAGCCTCACCATGCCCAGCTCTCCCTGCAGGGCTGAGCCAGGGCAGCAGCACTGCCGTGGCCCCACTGCCGCTGTCCCACTGCCACTGCCGCCGCCATGCTCTGAGCATAACCAGCTTCCAAACTCTGGAGATCCACTGCCGAGGCTTCCGGCAGCGGCCGCTCTGGGACTACACTCTATGGTTGTGGGCTGGCTGCGGAAAGACCTCTGTCCCGCCATGGTGAGGCTGGGAGGCACGCAAGCTGCAGGCAGAACAAGTGCTCACACAACCTTTCTTTTCAGCCGGGCAGAGCGCCACACAGCTTAGCGCCTTTGGGATATTACTGGGTTGGTGAGTGGCGCTCTGCCTGGCTGGAAAGGGGCATTGCCGGGTGGCTGCTCATGAGAGAAGCTGCCCAGCAACCCCCCACTCCAGCTGGACACAGCGCTACCCACCAACCTAGTGGTATCCCAAAGGCGTCAAGCAATGTGAGTGGCGCAGTGGTTAGGGTGCAGTACTGCGGTCCACTTCAGCTGACTGTTATCTGCAGTTCGGCGGTTCTAATCTCACCGGCTCAAGGTTGACTCAGCCTTCCATCCTTCCGAGGTGGGTGAAATGAGGACTCAGACTGTGGNATGGATTAGGAATGGGATGTCACTTACAGTAAGTTCATATACAAGTAAAGGCAGGTAAGAGAATACTTTTGGCAATATAGTGTATATGAGATTGAAGGAAACTTCTGAGGCTGTGCTTTTTCTGTCTTGGGTAATAATGGCTGGTTATCTTCAATCTGCAGAAATGTGTAAAATCTCTACAATGAGCAGGAACACAGATGTCTGAATCCCTTTCTCTCTCCCCCTCCCTCAAAGAGGGAGGGAGGGAAAGGGAGAGAGGGGAGAGAGAGATGGAGGGAGAGGGAGGGAGGGAGAGAGGAGAGAGGGGGAGAGAGGGAGAGGGATGGGGAGAGAGTGAGGGAGGGAGAGGGAAGGAGAGAGGAGAGAGGGAGGGAGAGAAGAGGGAGGGGGAGAGAGGGAGGGAGAGGGGAGAGGGGGAGAGGGGAGAGAGAGAGAGAGACCTTTAGAAGAGATAAGATATACATTCAATAAGATTAAGGGCATCATATTCTATGGAGCCGAACATCCTTGGAACAAGATCGCTATTGAAACAAAGAATGTGACGACCTTAATTCCATCTTTTATGGTTTCTTCCAAAAGACCAAGCTCACAGCTGTCAAAAGCTAGACTGGAACTATGATAATGATTTATATATGACAGATTTCTTCCTTGAAAAGCTGATTTCTTACTTGCTTGCCCAAACACCATTCTTCCACTTTCCTCTGGTATTTTTTTATTTATTTATTTGCATGGATAACTGTCCAGGAATAATATTGTTATGATTTATTGAGCCATGGCATCCAAACTTTGTTTCTTGGAGTCAAATTCCTGGCATCAAAAGTTATTCCAGAAACGAAACCACAACCCTCTGTCGTTTAATTCCTGATTGCTTCATAATAGTCTGACAGTGATTCATTACTATCAAGCAAACAAAATGTTCAAAGTAGAAGGTCACAGTCGGCATTTTTCATACAGTTGCATAATATAAGCTTCATCCAAGGTTTGCCTCTATTCTGAAAAAAAATTGCTTCGCAATTAAATAACTTATTTATCAAGGACTGGACTCTTGTAGGCAGAGCTTGGGCATTCATTCTCTTGTTTAAAATGATGTAGTGGTTGCTGTATTCAATTCCTGTGAAGAAAAGCTGCAGTGGTTAGGGTTTTTGCAGTTCAGAACACAGTATAGAAGCAGGGGTGGGCTTCAAAAATTTTAGAAAGGGGTTCTCTGCCCGGTTGCTAGGTGGGCCTGGCCATGGTGGATGTGGCCTAGTTGGCCTCTAGCAATTGGGGGGGGGGTTGCATTTTTGCCCTCCCCATGGTCCAGAGGCTTTCCTTGAGCCTTCAGGAGGGCGAAAATGACCTCCCCAGGCTCCGGAGGCCTTCCTGAACTTCTGTTAGGTCCGTTTTTCACCCTCCCCGAGCCTCCGCATGTGCCCTGCACTTACATGCATCCAAAATTGGCTGTTTGGGGCTCCTTGGAGGAGTGGGGTGGGGGGACAGGGCCAGCTAGGAATGGGATTTGGGGGTTCTTTGAACTGCACAGAATCTTAGCTAGAGGTTCTCCCGAACCCCTGCGAATGCCCAGCAGCCTACCCCTATGGAGGATGGGAAAGGACATGACAGAGCAATGAATGAGAACATGAATGGCAAGGAGTGAAACCAAGAGGAGTATGATTTCTCTCCCCCTTTCCTTAAAATAGCCCTAAGGTTTTTTTGGTTGTTGTTGTTGTTTTAAACAGTGCTCTCATGGGTCTGGAAAAATGCAGCCCATTCTGCCATCTTAAACCTCTCCCACTCATCTCTTCTGCTGCCTGAACTAGGTTAGGATTCCGGTGAGTTTCACAAAGGCCTGGATGTTTATTCTACTAAGCATTAGAGCAAAATAGAGCACCACATTCATTTAGCTCTTTGATGATTGCATGTTTTCATCGCTGTGACCTACTTTGCACTTCCCCGAAGCATTTGGTCGGCCTTTGCTGAAGTACTCGCTAGATGGACCAAAGCAATTACCGAAGGGATGAGAACAACACAGTGCTGCTGTGATCTTCTTGGATGAGCAGACAATTCTTTTATTGAATGGGATATGTGCCGGAGACTGCATTGTTCCTTTCCACCTGCAAGGCTTTTGACTACTGGGACAAATGGAGCGAGAAGGAAAAGGAGGAGGGTTTCCACATTATCCCTTATCTGGTCTCTTATTAGAAAGACGGGGGGAGGGGAATGGGGGGAGGCGGAGGGTTGCCTCTGCTTTTAAAAGACTAGCCACTCTTCCCCCTCCCCAACCCTCTGTCTTCAAGTGATAGTTTAGATAGAAGGAATATCATGTATTTCTTTATAATGAATGCCGATATTCACTGACAGCTGGGCTAAGCCCAGGGTCTACAGCCCATATTACAAGCAATTTTCATTTTGAATTGGAGTGCTTAATTCCTTGGTATTCTTTAGCACTCTGCATAAGCTCAGGTGCAGCAAAGGTTCCTGCTAAATTCAAATATTTTCATTTCATTTCATTTTATTTGCCTTGTATGCCGCCCACTCCCGGAGGACTCCGGGCGGCTCACAACAGACAAGGGAAAGGGGATAAAT